ACTTTTTTTGGTGGGGGGAATGTTTTTCAAGATCTTGACTTTATTATCATTATTATTGTGCTTTAGGTGCAAATTTACAGAGCAGAGTTTGTTTTACATTCAACATTTTGTGTAGATTTGATTTCACTCCCCAATTATCATCCCAACCTTACCCCACTCTCCTACCCTCCCTTCCCAGTACCCCCTCCCCCCGTGCCCCTCATGGTTATGCACTCCTGTGTGTCCTGCATTTCCTCTGTGGGAATGTTGCTCCTCTGGTACCCCATGGTCTATTGCTCCAAGGGCAACATCTCCATAGAATATGTGGGTGCATCACCCTGGGTTGAGTGGTCTGCGTGTATGTCCTGTTTACTACTGGGCTGAGATCCAGCCCCTGGGAGTGAGTTTTATTCCAGGCATGAAGTGTACCCCAGGGCCATAGTATTAGGGGTCCCACCAGACTCCATCTGACTAGTAATTCTGGTCATTATTGTTTTAAATTGATCCTGAACTTCCATGTTCTAAGAACCATTACTTTCTGAGACCCTTTCATTTTAATCACCAGAATTAGTAAATAGATTTTTTTGAGAACTATTGTTACAAAGAAACAACTTGAATGGGTGTTAAGTTCTATACTAAGACAAAGTAGAGAGAAAGACAACATAAAAATGTAGATGCTGGGTGTTAAGTTGGGCTTACCCACTAATAAGTGACTTGTTGCCAGACATCAGTCTCATTCTAGTGCAAATTTATACCTCAGCAAAATGACATGGTGTGAACCTTGAGAGCGCTCAGTAATTGTCAAAACATTTGATGTCAATAGGCCGTCATGTGTATCTAACAAAAATCTAAGACTTTGAATGTGTGTTCTGTCACGTAAAGTAAAAAAAGTAAAAGGCAGACTAGTACAGTAGAAAGGAGCTCTGGTAGCATAGTGGCTAAGGCACTTGACTGCTAACCAGAAGGCTGACGGTTCAAACCCACCAGCCACTCTTTGGAAGGAAGATGGGGCAATCTACTTCCATAGTGATACTGCCTCGGAAACCTAAGGAGGAGTCGCTATGAGTCAGGTCCTACTCGACGGCATATAACAACAACAACAAAATACAGTAGAAAGTGTACTGTACTAGGAGTCAGTGAACTTGAATTCTAGTTTTGAATCTATCACAGACCAGCAGATGATCTGGCCCTGGGTAGATTACTTAACCTTCTGGAAATGGATTTCTCATATATTTAATGAGGATGATAACAATACTTGGGAACCTCAGATAAGACAATATATGCTAAAGTGTTTGGTGAACTTAAGAGCCAAATCCAAATTTACCAGAGTGGTGTTTTCCTTCTAAGTCTTGGTCATGCAAATAGAAGTCAAAATTGAGGTGTGATTTGACTTAATTACTGAGATAGATAAAAGATCGTTTTGGCCTTGTCAGCCTCATATGTTGTTCTCTTCTTTATGAGCTCCTGTGAGGCAATATCCTTGTCTTATCAATGTTATGTAATTCCCCCCCCCCCATCCTAAAATAGGTGTGATTTGGAGGCTCTGACTCCTCTAATCCCAAGCAAACCCTGGGTTCTTGAAATCTGAACACAGGATCTTTTCTGTGCCTTTCTATATCTTCATTCCCATGAAGTTCAAGGTATCAAGGAATGGCAAACCAGATGGCAGAAAATCTGGAGACTGTGATAAACATTACTATAATTAATTCCAGTTGCTACAATGATTCCGACTCAAAGCGACCCCTCCTTGGGTTTCCCAGGCAGTATCTCTATGGAAGTAGATTGCCCAGTCTTCCTTCTGAGAAGTGGATGGTGGGTTTGAACCACCAGCCTTCTGGTTAGCAGTCAAATGCCTTAGGCACTACACCACCAGAGCTCCTGTATATACATTTATA